ATTATTATTATTATGTGGTGAATGGTTGGTAGAATCATTTAGGTTTGATCACTTTCAACAATGAACATTCTCTTTTATTTGAGTCAATATTTATCAGGTTTCCATGTGAATTTGCTTGTCATGACTAACTCACATTCAACTTCATGAACGCATGAAAGTTTACTGGCCAAAGTATACACATGCCGACGAGTGTATAAATCACTGAATAAATGGACCAATTGAATGCACACGAATGGAATAGTGCAGGACCATTAGTTACATAAAAAGCTGGAGCAGGTAAAACTAATTTAAAAATCTCAATTAAACTAAATGCTGTGTTCTAATAAAATGCACAGTAGCTAAACTACACCAGAGTTCGTTGGCTAAAGATTTAGATATTTTTCAACTGATGGTCTGTAAACTGATCAAAAAAAAGTTCTAATGTTTGAAAGGTAACATGGCAATGTCAAGGTGCATAAGCATAATTGGAAGGATATTGATGGCTTAATTTAAAATGGTTTAAACACCCATGAGCGAAGATTAAAGAACGGAAGACATAACTGCAATACAGAAACAAATCAGGTAGATGCTGGTTGATGTTGATGGATATTTCAGTGCAAGAGTAATCCACTGTAACACTTTATAGTGATATAGAGTATTTCACATAGGATGACATTAATAATAATAAATCCCTTGCGTTTGGTATAGCGCCTTATCATATCTTCGAAACGTCTAAAAGTGCTTCACAGAATAAACTGTAGAATGAATTGACTGTATATTTTATGGGCGAAACTTGGCAAACAATCGCGCACAGCAGCGTTCCACAAACATGTGTGGATTGAGTGACCTAATAATTTTTTTTTAATTTGAGGCGATCAGCCAACTGGGTTCCTACCTACTGCTGGGCAAACAGAGGCGTCTGGAGTAAGAAAACTTGCCTAAGGTTCGTGCTGCCTGGGAATCAAACCCAGGTCCTCCTGTTTCGGAGGCAATTGCTCTAACTAATATGTTACAGGACTCCATGATATACCAGAGTGAAAGCAACAAAAGGTCCATAAATGGTGCGGAATTCACAGCAGTTGCACAATAGGCATCACTGCTTTATTTTTTAATGTGCCAATGTAGATTAAAGTACAATTTAATGCTAATCTTAGGGGAGGATTTAGCTGGATGCGAAACAGGGTCACGGTACATATTTGTTCAGAAGCATTCCAAGCTTATTCCAGGGAAAGGGATAAGTGGTTTCAAACTGATTACTAATGGAAAACACTATCATTTATTTGATATGATTTATTTGACAATTCTGAACAGGCCGGGTAAAGTACTATGCAAATTCATAATTCAGGTATTTTAGTAGAAACGAATATCTATAGTGAGAATTTTTCCCAACCTTCAATTTTTTACTATTCTCCTCAATCAACTGATTCTTGTTTGCGGTTTGGTTCTTGTTGGGAAAGTAATTGCCTTCTGCTTTGCGCTGGTGTCTTAATCTGTGAGCCGAGATAGTGAGTGTTGGCAGATTATTCAACCAGGAGAGCCATCTCAGTCAAGTTGAATCCTAATCTTACCCAGTGTCCGCACGTGCGGCAGGAAGGAATTACTGGGTGATGTTGATGTGGAGAAACCTTGGCTCATTTTTTACCACCTAAACCACAGGAACCAGGCAAATTGTTGTTACTCCTGCTGCTATCCTCTTTAAGATCAGCTAACGCAGAACAGTTCAAACTTGGTGTCTTCTGGGTATGTATGACTACTCTTCAGGTTGGACACTGCTTTTATCAATTGAGACATCATATAAAAGCACATTATAGCTAAGACATTTTAGCATGCTTTTTGGAGTAAATATACGCCAATCGTTCAAACTGAATTGAATAGATATGTTCTTAAGGCTGACAGTTTTAGATAATACCAAGCGCGTAGACATAGAAATTGACACAGAGTCGAAAATGGTTGGGTTTTTATTGCATTTTTTTTCTGATACAAGTTGTTATTGTTGAATTCTTCTGTTGACCGTTTTGATTATTAAGGAACTCCTCCCAGGACAAGAATTAATCAAGGTGATTCACTTGAGCTTTTCTAACAGCGAAGCATTGCTTTTTACTGTACATTCTTTTACAATGGCTGTTTATTTAGTTAATATAAACTATTCGCGAGTGCAAAGCGTGAATCAAAGATTCCTGTCTCTGGAGTCAGTGAGTCTGACTCATCTGATCAAGATTAGAAAGACTTGACACCTTTGGCGCTGTCAGTGGGAAGATAAATGGTCTTTATGTGTGGTGTAGAAGAGGTGTTCAAACACAATAGAGTCATTATCCTGGAAACAAAGGTAATTTTCTTTTGTTTTAAAAAAAGTTGTTGAGGCATTTCGAATTCAATGCACTTTGCATTGCTATGGAAGATGGCTAATTTTCAAAAAAATATTGATTTTTATAGGCGAAACCCGACAATCAATTGCTCACAGCAGTGTCCCACAAACAGTCGTGGTTTGAGTGACCAAACCTTTTGGGGGGTGATGTCAGAAAGATATGTATTTTCATCTAGAAAACAGTATCGATAATGTTGCTCCATTCAAACAGAAAGACCTTCCCTTTTAAGTAGTATGATGTATTCCAATCCAAAACAACCATTTTTATTTTCATCTTGAATCGGTGCTGCAGACAAATATTAACATATGAACAAACAGCATTACAAAAGCATGTGTCTCGTCTCTTAAAGCACATACCGAGATAAGTGTGCACGTTAAACAAATACCACAATTTTCAAATGGCTTGATAAATTGTGTGGAGTTACAATTGTCTGAAATCAGTGAGTATTGACTCTGGCATCTATCACACTTGATAAGCCAGCTTTTCACAAAGGGCGTAATGACTTGTTTGGAAGAGCATCAGTACACCGTGAAATTCTAGTGGTTTACACGAACGTATCTTAAATAATATGTGAAGAATGCTGCAGAATTAAAGAGGTCTGAAAAATGATTTGTTCACCAGAGAACAAATACCGACTAAAGTAATTGTAAGTTAGTTTGATTCCCAGGTGGGCTGAAACCTTAGGTAAGTTTCCTTACTCCACACGCCTCTGTTTACCTAGCAGTAAGTAGGAATCCGGTTGTTGGTCGATTGATGGATTGCTTTTCCGGGAGTAATAATCCCTTCAAAAAAATAATAATAATTTGGTCACTCAATCCACGACTGCTTGTGGACACTGCTGTGTGCAATTGGCTGCCGCATTTCACCCGCAAATATACAGTCAATTCACTTTGCAGTATATCCTGCCAAGTGCTTTGAGACGTCTCAACCACATGGCAAGGCGCTATATCAAATGCAAGTATTATTATTATGTTGATGATGTAGTTCACTTTTTTCACTGTGTTTTAGTAAATTGATTTATTTGGATTCTGCTAGTGTGGTATATATCATTCCCCATATATAATTCCACACTTGTAGCATCATTCAACTCTTGTTCAACACTAGCATTTTCAATCAGATGCACTTGGAAATTATTACAATATTTAAATCTTGATAAGCTTCCCTATTGATTAAAATCCCCTTCTTTATGTTGATTTGATTTTCCATCTCTGGCACTACTTCAATGCCGCTGCTAAATTGAAAAACAATAGAATTGTTTCACGTCAAATTGCTCATTGAGTTCTTTGCTTCTCAGATATATTGTTTTGCAGGAAAGGAAGCTGAAATAATCAGCAAAAATCTAAGAAAATCAATTTGGTTTAGACTGTACTAATGGATACTGCTCTATCCATTTCTTTACCAAAATAACTAATTCTAAAATCCGCCCATTTCGTCCTCTATAACGTAATTGGCAGGACATCATTTCATTCTCACTGTGAAATGTTTTTTATTATGGTTACACTGTGAGTTGATATTATTAAGTGTGGAACTAACATTGGTTGACATCAGAGATCACAATGACAGCAGCAGTGTCTAAAAATGATTGCAATAATTTAGTGTGGTTCTTTTCAAGACATGGGTTTAATCCCAATTTTTACTGCTGCATTTATGGTGGACATTAAAGAGTTGAATGTCCGCCATAATTAAAGAGCCCTAGAATTTCTTCTAGTACCCTGGCCAAGAATCCCACAGATAAATTGGCCATTCACTTTGTGGCTGTTTGTGGGAAATTACTGTGTGCAAATTGGCTACGGCATTTGCCTACAAATACACACTGACTAAACTTTGTGAAATACTTAGACTAGAAGACGTGAAAGCGGTATATCAAATGCAAGGATTATTATTATTATAAATGTGATGTCAAATGCGAGGATTCTAATAATAATAACCCTTGCGTTTGATATAGTGCCTTATCATGTCTTCGAGACGTCTCAAAGCGCTTCACAGCATATACTGTAAAGCAAATTCACTGTATGTTCTGTGGGCGAGACATTACCATTCAACACGTATTGACTTTCTTTGGTGCTTTTTATTTGGATAAATTAACATGTTCAGTTCATGAAGCGTTATAAATACAATAAGAAACCTGCTGCACCTTTGCTTATTTTTGGAAGAATCCAGAACCACAGCAATGGTTACTGCAAATCACAAGTTCCTAATGCCAACCCGGACAAATCTAACTATTTTGAATAAAATAGTAACCCTGCTACAGTAGAGGAAGAGGTAGGCCGCTCCTGTCCCCCTCTCTGAAAAGAAAAGTCACTCCACGTCTTAATAAGGTTAATAATCTCCCTACTTTCTGCATTTGATATTGCGCCTCATCATGTTGTTGAGACGTCTCAAAGAACTTCACAGAACATACTGTAAAGTGAATTTGACTGTGTATTTTGTGGGCGAAACGCAGAATCGAAGCCAGGTCCTCTCGCTTGCGAGGCGAGGGCGCTAACCATTACCCTACAGGACTCCACAAATTTCAGATTGCCAGTATTCTCAGCAGCTGTGGTAGTATCTCAGCCTCTTTGTGAACCTCCGCTGTGAAGTAGCTGCAGTGTGGCTGGGGCTCTTTAAGTGCTATTCCCTTCTTGTGCGTGCTTTGGGTGGAATCCACTCCGCATGTTGTAGCTGATCTGCTTGTAGGAGGCACTGCTTTGTCAATGGCACATCCAAAAAACCTGAAACCTCTCTGAATGGCGTTTCCCAGCCAGCTGCTGTTGTGCAAAGGACAACTCATTGGCAGGCTCTCGCCCACAGAGATGCAGCGTCTGTAGATCGCATCGGTTCCTCGTCCTAGAGGCTGAATTCTCCCATTCTCTCGGATCGCAGCAGACCAGGGCTTTCGCAAGACCCGCGAGAAAGAGTTTCACGTCAAACCCTCTGGGATCAACGCTGGTGTGTATATGAATTGCAATGTTTCCTCCCTTTTTTTTTGGTAGCTAAAGACAAAAGAGAGATCCTTTTTTTTTGTAGCTAGACCGGATCATCGGTTTAAAGGACCGATGGGTTTGCTAAACAGGTAAAGGCAGAACAGAAGAGAAAGTTGTTTTCATTAGAAACAATCAATGGAAAGGGATTCCTGAGTTTGGCGATGGGTTGTTGCATTATCATAGCTGAACTGTTGCATGTTACAGTGTGTGTGTGTGTGTAAAATAATAACGTGTGTAATAATGTGTGTGCAGTTCTGAAATCTATATTATCAGCTGAACTGTTGCATGTTACAGTGTGTGTGTGTGTGTGTAAAATAATAATAATAATAATGTGTATAATAATGTGTGTGCAGTTCTGAAATCTATATTATCAGCTGTTACAGTGTGTGTGTGTTTGTGTGTTTGAATCTGTGTTTCTGCATTTCTGAAACCAACATCTTCTGAAATCGCATCAAAGCGTGTCATATTGTCAGATCTGGGAGGGGGGAATTGCAATCACTGTGCACACAATACTTGCAATTTCACACAGAATTGACTAGTAGTGGAATTTCCATGAGATATTCTTCTGAACTGCATGTTGTGTTGGTGGATGGACAGGAGTGTGGGAGGGTGGGGGGTGGGTGAGGGCAAAGGTAAGCAAATACTGTACTTGCAGATTGTAAAATGCAATGGTTTGTCATAACTCGTTACGTAGCAAAGGAAGGCTCAAGGTGTTATTATTGCTACCTGTTGGGAGCCAGTGACACACTTCTCTCAAGTGCTACTGCCTTTCCGCATTTACAGTGAAGGTAGCGTGAAATTCAATCATTTTGATGGTACGTTTGCTGTTCAACTACAGTTGTTTAAAGGGACGATTGTTGTACATTACTCAGATTTGGTTTTCACTTGGTAGAGATCGCAACTGAAATTAACTTTTAATCCTTTGATTTTTTTTCTCCCCCTCCCACACACACACACACACACACACACACACACAGAGTTCATCCTGAGCAAGAATGAAATGGTGAAGTTTGACTTTGGATTGGAAGACTTGTTTCGTGTGGATTGGAGTGAATATTGACCCTCCTCCCCCCCCACTTTGATCTCAATCGAGCCATGGCGAAGAGTGCCGAGGTGAAGCTGGCCGTCTTCGGGAAGGCAGGTGTGGGCAAGTCAGGTAAAGGCACCCATCACTCTTAATAATAATTATAATCATAATAATAATCCTTGCCTTTGATACAGCGCCTTATCACGTCATTGAGATGTCTCAAAGCGCTTCACAGAATATACCGTGAAGTGACTGTGTACCTTTCCCTGCTTTTCAATAGAATATTTAGTCATTTCTTGTTTTTGGTTCTCATATCCAAGCTCTGGATCTGTCTGTATCGGTTTGGCGTTGTGCACAATATTTTCACCCACAAAATTATGCAGTCACTCCACTTTACAGTATATTCAGTGAAGCGCTTTGAGACGTTGCAAAAGTGTGATAAGGCGCTATAGATATCAAATGCAAGGATTATAAAAATAATAATTCTTGCATTTGATATAGCGCCTTATCACTACCCGCAATATCTTATCGTTATCCACGAGGAAAGGTAAACAGGTGTAAGAATCTCTACCCGAAACTTGCAATTTCAGATTCACAACGTTTCTTTGATGTTGCCGAGGAATATATGTGTTTTTTTTTAAAAATGTCATTTGCTTTTTAACCACTATTCGAAAGTCCTTTGAATTCAATTCATTGTATTATTTTTTCATGGTGGTTTGTTGAGGATCTCTGCCTATCCGTTCTCATTCTGGGAGTTTCATTTGATTTCACAGCGCTGTTCCTTTGCGTGCTTGTGCACAGACTGTCAGCATCGTCGCTTTCAGTTAATACTGCGTGCAAACTGTGCTTTACATTTCATTGACAAAAACATACAGGTTCATAGCAATTAAGCCAGATCCCTGACTATGGAGTGCAGCCAACTCACTCTGTGCAGTCTGATGAAGTGATTTCTGCAGATCTCTCTCTCTCTGCTCTAGTGTACACACGGTTTTATAGAAAAGTGTACATACAAAAAAACGCAGGGACTTTAGACCATTCATGGTTTCAAGGCATTGTTGTATGAGTTCCTTGTGTGTGGGTTTGAATGCTCAGGAGCTTTCATTCTCTTGCAAACGTCAATGAGTGTTGGAAAGAAGCAATTATGAGTAATGTTTCAAGGTTGCCCCAATAGTAAGCAATCTGAGATTATTTAATAAAGAGGTTAAATGACATGGAATCTAAAGCTGTGGAAATGTTTGGATTGATCACTGTATTAAGTCACAGGAGAAAAAATAAAAACAATCTTTTAATGTAATAGCAATTTCGGGAGGTGCATTTTTAAGATAATCTGATAAAAAAAATCAAATCCTGCTTAAAACTAATGCGTCACAGTTCCGGACTACATCCTTTTATTGCAATGTAAATTAAATTCTACTTAAAAGTGTTTTAGGGTCTGGTCATTCCGTGCCCTAATTCCTATACTGTAGTATTTTTGGTGGTTTTACCATTAGTTTTAATCCTCTTTGTCAGTGCTTTTTCATTGCAGAATGTGTTTGTTGTGCCAGGTTGGTCTAAAGCAGCTGGCATCACATTTGCTTTGCATGAGCAGACAGAAGGTGTCCTTGTGGGTTGAATTAGGTTTTATTGGTAACCTTCTCTATCCCGAGGCTCCAAGACAGCTTTAACGCAACTGCAGACCATAGAGTTTGGACATCTGATGTTGAAATTTCTCACCGCTTTTTATAATAGTAATAATCCTTGCATTTGATATAGCGCCTTATCATGCCTTCGCGACGTCCAAGACAGCATCAGAGAATATACTGTAAAGTGAATTGACTATATATTTTGTGGGCAAAACGCGGCAGCCAATTGCGCACTGTAGCGTCCCACAAACAGTCCCCACATACAGTTTTTGAATTGAGTCCACTCCTCTACTACTAACATTCAACAATGCAACCTACCTTCACTACGTCTTTCACATGGAAGAATAATTTCAATGCTTCGTGATGGAAAAAATTGTTAATCCAACGATCATTTGCTGCAAAATTAGGTATTTAAAGGAGCAGTATTACCTTAGGACTGATTTTACCCACAACATAATTATATGATCAGTGATTTGATGGCCTCATTGATTACATGTGGGACCGAGGGCTTATTATTTATATTTTGGTTGTAATGAAATATCCCTCTTGCTTTACTGTGTTCATTCGGTAGAGCCACTGCCTATTACGAAACTGAGCCTTGTCGACTCAGAAGGTCATTCATTTGATCTCCAGTCTGTTGTGAGGTAGCCAATCTCAGCCAGAATAGCAGTTGAGAGTCGGGAGGGGGTGGGAGTAGAATTGGCTTCAGTGGCCCTGAGCTAGAAAGGAGAGGAATTAGCCATAGTTTCCACTGGTGTGCGGTGTGACCGGGTAAGCACAGCATTGTGCTCAGCTGCAATAATGCTCCCCTGCTATGGTCAAATAGTCTGCCAGCACTTGCTGTCTAGAATCACACATGAAGGATGGCTACTTGGATAAGGTGTCAGATCCTTGCCAACAGCTGTAAAAACCATACTGCAGTATGACTCACCGGCTTCAGATGAGGAGGGGAGAGAATTGGAGAAGAAAACCACACCAAAAAAAACTAACAAAGAACAAAAATTATTTGAGATTTTCGTGCGACGCAGGTGAAAGGTTATGTGGGTCGAGTGATTTTTCATCTAGTGACCCACAAGTCCACTGCAGCAGCAGAAAAATAAGGCAGGCAGCTTCTGGTTAGTGTACAAACTGAGGGATAACAACAACAACTTGCATTTATATAATATCCTTCAAGTGGGGCAGCGTCTCAGAGCGCTTAATCCCACAACAATAATAATCCTTGCATTTAGTGTAGCATCTTATCACATCCTCGAGACGTCCCAAAGCCCCTCACAGAGTATACCGTGACGTCAATTAACTGTATATTTTGTGGGTGATGCCCCACGAACAGCAGAGCTAAAAACGTTGCCGTTTATTCCAAACAAGTGTTCCAGTTCAGTGAAGGTGCTAAAATAGCAGTTCCAGTTGATCGCTTACTTTGATCGCTTTTGTTTTGTGTGTAATATGTTTTTCCCCTTCCCCTTCAAGCTCCTTGTGTACCTTGTACCAGTGCGTAGTGAAGAAGGCGATGCTGCTGCCAGTGGTAATGTTGTGGCTGGCTGCTGGGGGGTGTCAGGGGTTGGCCTGGTTTCTAATTTTCTTTCTCTTTGGCAGAGTGCCTTCCCTCACATGAACCAGTGGTCCATTACTTCATACAATCCTGCTTTCATGTACAGACTCAATCAATTTCCGGACAGCCTGCCTCCAATCTTGATCCATTCAGCCCAGCCCATGCGTATCTGGCGCTCAATCTCCTGGCTCTTGTGATTCAGGATTCCCCCTCCTGCACCCCCTCCCCTCCCTTTTTCTTGACGGAGAGAGATTGAGAATGAGATTGCGAGGAAAACAAAGTTGAATCTTGACCACAATTCAGCAGCTGGGTGGGTTGAAGGTTGGGAGGTAGAGAGAACAGTATGTGGTCTATTTTACACTGAGTACTAATAGCAGCCACTCCAACTTTATAATGGGAAATCCTATTGTAACGTCAAGCAGAGTGATTAGCGATCAGCATAAAATAGCCCTATGGGAGAGAATGAGAATGAGAATGACGATAGCTGCAATGGAAAGGGAATCTGACGCAGGTGTGTGGTGAGAATGGAAGTGGAAGCCAGACTTAAGGAGACTTTGAGGTAGAAGTGTAATAATAATAAATAATAATGATCCTTGCATTTGATATAGCTCCTTATCACTTCTTCGAGACGTCTCAAAGCGCTTCACAGAATACACTGTAAAGCGAATTGACTGTATATTTTGTGGGTGAAGTATGATGATGGGGACTGACTTGCAGCTTTCATGTATGAAAGTGTCAGACTGCTCTATGAAGCCAAATTGGAAGTCTGAGCAAAGACAGTAGGAGGAGGGAGCCTGGTTGAAGGTGTCGTCAAAACGTGAGGTTTTAAAGGTGGACTTGAGAGCAGAGAGGAAGGGTGTGAGGTGCAGGAATTTAGGGAGAGGCTCCAGTTAATACTTAATTTAAGGTTTTTCGACCATGCTGCAAGACGTTAAATTTTAACACAGATGTTCTAAGGCTTAGACCATAAGTGATTTGGGGCCTTTCATTTCTCTTAGAAGACACAGACATTTTAAAAATAATTTTACTCAGTGTATACCCTTCATTTAAATTTGCCCCTGACTTTTCTCTTCTCCTTCAAGCAGTTGGTTTCACTGTTTTAATATTTTACTGATATAATATCCCTAAGGATCCTCCTTAGAAAATGCAAGAAAAGGCTGTGCTTTGCCCATTATTAATTTCCGTGCTTTTGGTTTGGTTTTCAATAAACGTTGGCAGGTATATTGTGCTTCTGGATGGATGGGCTGAGGATAGGAGTTAGGGAATAGCAGACATGAGCATGGATTTTGCCATTCATTTTCTTCAATTTATCCCTGTGACATGTAATCTTTTCCAATGTTTTATATTGGAGAGAGCAAATATTGCCAGGACTTTGACTGATTGTTCTGATTTGTTTGTGAATAACAGCAGCGACAAAATTAAATTTGTATAGCGCCTTTCACGTCGAAAGGACTTCCCAACCCAGGAAGTCATGATTAAAAGTGACCCAGTTTGTGAAGATATAAATCAAAATGTAACAAACATCTGCCGAGAGAGTCAAAGTACTCTTATAGAAATAAGACATTTGGGGAATATCTACCTTAATCTGATTGTCTTTTTTCATAAGTATAGTTTACATTGCAATAAAAAATATCAGAGTGTTAACATGAGGTATCCATGGGATCTTATGTACCCTCATCACAAAAATTAATCTTTTTCTATAAGTCTTATGTTCCCTGTTTGTCTCTCCCCTCCCAGATAAATTCAGACATTGTATTTATTTTATCAACCTCAAAAGAGTGAAGGGTTCAGAACACTCTCCCTCAATCCCTCCGACTTATACCCCAAACCTTTAATGTCAGAGCATTCACAATTTGGCAAAATTCTTAAATACAGCATTAACTCTGAAGCTGTGTTCTCTGTAGGTTCTTTTAAGCTCTCCAGAAAATCGGCTTCAAAGTTCAGGCTCAATTCAGCAA